TTGTCTCGCTGTGTAAATTTTAGCGAAAATTGGCAATCTTATTGCTTTTATAATGTTGAGTAAGTGAGGACTAGAGTCGCTCAGCGGTATCGCAATTGGCCTCTTGGCCTAAGTGCGATGGTGGCATCAGCTCAAATATTTATATTTATTATAGAGAATTAATTATTTATTTTTGCACTTTTTTATTTATGTTCCTTCCTTTTTTTGATTGGAATTTATATTATTCCACTTTCGGTTTAATATTTCTATTTTTAGTACCTCCTACTAAACCATGAATATTTCCAACCTCGACCCACTGAGAATGATGCAAGTCAAAAACATATATTTTCAAAAGAAAAAAGAAAAAACAGACAAGAAACCCTGTATGAGATATCATCCAAAAGGTACAAGACGTCCTTAACCTTTCTTCGCGTATTTTCGAAAATATTCAGCAAGGTTGTCTTTGCTCAAGTGCATTCCGAGTAATTGTCTGAAGCTACTTTACAAGTAGTTTGGTTTTTTAATATTTTTTTCTTTTTCAACGAAAAAATCTGCAAAAGTGTACGATACGCACTTGCCCACATGCCTCAAAATTTAAAAGCCAGACAATACATACATACGAGTAAATACAAATTCAAGAAACAGGCTACAGTGACAGAAAAGAAAGGCCTAAAAATGAAATGAAAAAATATTTCAGGGATATGAATTAGAATTTAGTAAGCAAAAGCTTTCAGGACAATACATTCGATGTTTTAAGTTCGTATTATGTAAGTGTGCTACTAAATTTATCGGACTATAATAAGCTTTATTCAAAAGTTTATATATCTTCACTTAAGATAAGTACTAAGAATTTTTTAAAAATTCTTCTACTATTGAGAAACAATTTTTTTAAGTGCGTCTCAATTTTTTACCTATTGCTTTTATTAGTTATTTTGAACCCCTTGAAAACCTGAACTCTTCTTGTCTTTTCGCTTTCATTGGAATTTTTTTATACCAGTATGAAAAAACTCTATTTTTAAAGATTCCTTTTAGGGCAATTTTTTCTCAAATATTCGCGTATTAAATAATAGTACGCTTGCTTACCCTTTGGTATGCTTGTCGCCAAATCAAGGCGTGGCAGATGTAGCGCGCTAACGTATCAGGTTTATCGAAGGAACTGAAAGAATCATTGTTCGCACACAACAATTTTGTAGGTGTGTTTCACACAAACAAAAGCAGGAATAATAAAAGGAGTGAACTCAAAAAAAAAATTAAATGAAACAAAAACTCGATTATGTTAGCGAAAAAAGTGCAAATATTCGTGCTGTTCAAAAAAGATGAAAAAACTGAAATAAAAAAAGTTTGAAAAAAGATTAACATGAAAACAATGAAATAAAAAAAAATAACAAACACAAATTATATATGTTTGATCTTGAATATCATCATTCACCGGCATTGGTCGCCGCGGGAAAAGGGTCATTTAACTCAGAATGCTTATTGGCGTGCTAAGTATTATAATTTAAACATTTGTAGTAATGCGATTGCATTACATAATAAAGTTAAAATGTCAACATAAATTTTTGAAGGAAATTTTTGCTTTTCTTTTTAGTAATAGTCAGAAATATCCAGTTATATGAAAACACTAGAATTTTTGATTTTTAATGAATCTTACAACACGTGCTTGGAGATCGATTGACCTTAAATTTTATTTCAAAATTATTTCTGTATGCAGACGTTAACGTCGTAATTTATGAAAAAAATACGAGTTGTTTAATTTTATTGAACCAGACATTTTCAAAAACAAAAAATGTTCTTGAAAAATGCATACAAATAACCACAATTTTTATACGAATATTATTTCTCACTCTGGCTACATGAGTGTAAATATTATATCAATTTAAATATATGGATGTATGGATTGAAGAATACCGTAAATGCTCGCACAGTCGTTCATTGCTCACCGCTCGAAGAGTTCGTGCTTTGTCAGACATTTTGAACAAACATTTTGATTTTTATCTCAGATTTTGCGACGTAAAAACTTCATTGAAATGCTGGAAAAATTATGACAAACAAAATTGAAAAATGAAAAATTTAATACAAACATTTGAGTAGTTGAATATCGGGTATAAAGAGCTCTAATGTAAATATAATATATAAATGCTTTACCAATGATTTTTGTAGCTGTAATTTTTTGACATTTGACTATTAAAACTACACCAGTAATAAACATGAAACGATACACGCTTCCAAAATGCCTTGAGTTTATTAAAATGCACTATGAAAAATCCATCGAAAAAAAATTGTGAGCAGTTGGTGCGACTTATGGTCCAGCGGAGTCCTTGGACCTTACTTTTTTCGAAAATTATGATGGAGCAACAGTTACGGTAAATGGATTGCGCTATCGAGAGATGATTAATGTTTTATTTATGGCCAGGGTTGGATGTTAATAATCTGGATAAGGTCTACTTTCAATAAAACGTGCTACGTGTCATACAAGCAACGAAACCGTCGATTTTATAAAGGAAAAATAAAAATAACACTTCTTATGGGTAAACCTGTTATATATAGATTATGAGCAAAGTAAGAGTTTACAAACGGTATAAGCGTTTATAAGAAGACTGTAAAGACGTTGACAATGACGGAAGCCATGGACGTGCCAACACATTAAAACCGATAATCTCGTCGACAAAGTGAAATATTATGAAGATAAGCAAATCTCAATAAATCAATCAACTCTACATATCTTTGGATCATGTACAAAATGCATATTTATCCCAACCTGTTGGTTATGAAAATTGTAGCACCAAAATTTGTTCAAAAATTATTTAATTTCCAACAAAAACCAACGTCTAGGGGAAATAAACGATAATGCAGAATCACTGAAACATAGCTGGTGTTGGTGATCATGTTTCAGATTTTACGGAAAAGATGTCGAAACTAAAGCTCAATAAACCATACGGCTCGCCAAGACCGAAAAAGACTGGACAAATGTCGCCAAATATCACCAAACCAAATGGCCAATAAGGAGTACTACTTACAAGTTCAAAGTGGTACTGACATGGCTACGTAGAACTTAATCTTATTTCCAAGGATAAAGCGAACTTTAGGGGGGACGCTGTTTTACAGTCGTATATGACATTGACAGCACTTCGCTAAAAGATTTTCAGTTTGTATTGAAGATCCACTTTGAGAAGTGTTTTGGAGACTAGAAGATGCACTGTCATAAACTCATATTCTCTAATAGAGACTATTTTTGCAAATAATTTAATATTTTTTGTAAAAAAATTCAAAAATTTATAACAAAATTGTTTTTATGCAAAACATAACACCTCTCATTCTATTTTTTTTTTTTCAAATTAATTATTTTTTTACTAATTATTGTAATATAATGCAGTAATTCTCGAAAAATGGTTGTGATATGTAAATTACTTCTTCAAATAAATTTATTTATTTATATAAAAAGATTTTTGCGTCGTTCATGTGTGTAAAATAGCATATATTTATATTAGGTAGTTTAAAAATCAATTCATTATTGTTCCAGTAGATGGCGTTATTTATCTGTATCTCGCGTTTAATAACCGCGATCGGTCCGCTAGATGGAGAGAGAAAAATGACATTTCATACTAAAAAAAAGCTTTTCTGACAGTTTTGTGATTGGTTGATTCAGTTTTCTTTGAGCGTCCGTCAAAGATGGATACTAGCAAAGAGAAAATACATCATACTTTACAGTTTATCTTCGATAACTGTTCGGATTGCCAAGAGCTAAGGATTGTGCAAAAAACCGTTTGGAACAGGCTGGACGCGAAAAGTAAAAACCGAAGCATTTTTCATTAATAATGGATCTCCTTTTACGACACCTAATATTAAACAAATATCTTGGAAACCTTTCTTCTCGGTTTTACACTCTAAAATATGCGATCACACTTAAAAATTGAACAAAATTTTTGAATTTCTTAAAATTTACGAACATATATAATACATATGGAAATTGCGCTCTTTATGCTTGTAATAAAGTCATGTGGCTTGCGGTTGATAATCATTAATTTAATATTAATATATATGTATATAAAACTCTTACGTCCGAAATGAAGGGGAAAAGGGGAATTTCTTAAAATAATTCATTCATTTTCTCATATCATTTCTTTTTTTAATATTTTTTTCTCGAGTGAAAGTGTTTGCGGTTATTTAAAAGAATCTCAATATTAACCGCAGCAGAAATGCAATTTTTATGTTTTTTAATGCATCATTTCGTCTGCATTTTCTGTTTTAGTATTTTTGAAAACGTTAAATTTTTTGTATTAATGACAGTGTAAAAAAGGTATTCCTACGTTGGCTGATTTTTTTTATTGCATTTTTGGTTATGTTACTTTTCCATTGTATGCTCTCATTAATTTTTTTAAATGTTTTGCTTTCGTTTTTAACCTTTCTCAAAAGCAGAATTTTTCTGCGCGGTTTTGTGAGTTCCCTTTGCACATTTTCATTTAACTCAGTTTGAGTTTAGCTGTTTTTATACTTTAATTTTACTTTTATTTATTTGTTTTTCATTTTATTTCAATACTGGTGTTGGTTGCCAAAAATTTGCGGTTATTATGAGCTGTCAGGAATGCTGTAACCATCAATTACCAGCTGTCATAAGTACATACGAGTACATGTCCTTATATATGACTACTTTCAGTTCTTTGTTTGTAGCACGCACCGACTTGACCCTTTTCATTTCTTGTAGTTATGTTAACTGTTAAGAAAATGAACTTTATTGCGTGCAATCACTTTCGCTTTTTGAAGCATTGGATATACTAGATATTTGTATGTGTATGAATGCATGTAGTACATTTCAAATTGTTGTGAAGGATTGAAGAGATCAAAATTTGAAAAAAACCCTTTTCCGAAAAAGTTTGGCTCATATTTTTAACAAAAAAAAAATTAAATAAATAAATAAAATAAAATAAATATATGTTTTTATTTGTATATATATATATATATATATATGTCATTTATGTAAATATATATATATATATATATATATATATATATTACACACTCACCTTCATACATTTGCGCATATTGTGGAAAGCCGGCAGCGCGCAGCCATTTACACGCTTCAACGGCCTCAATCTCTGCAAGCCAGAAAAAAACAAAAACATTAATCAAAATATCAGTTACCCGAAAAAAATTATGGTTGAGTGAAAATGTAAATGACAGTCCATATATACTTGTACTTATTTACATATATTAAAATAAGTTTATAAAAAACGGAAAATTATTTTAAAAGCCATTTAAATGACCTTCCCACTTTTATACTCCACGCACATTTCGCTGCACTTACGTTTTTATATGTATTTATGTACGGGTTATTTTGTTTCACACGTTTTTCCTGTTTTTATAATTAACTTAAAAATTTTAACTCAATTGCTCTTGTGTGAGTGGAATTATGCGAGCAAAAAATAATTGGCTTAAATGGGATTTTCGGCAGAATAATGCACCTTTGCCTATTGAAATGCTTATGCCACAGTACAGCAAGTGCGTTGCCAAGCGTTGCTATGGTTGGCAATGCCGATGCCATTACGAGTGCACTACTACAGTAGATACCAACAAAAAGCGCTGAGCTTTTAGCAAAAAATTTGGTGGGTAAAAATTTAATTAAAGTATAATATTTTTTTTTATGTTGAAGTGATGCGTATCTATAGCAGAAGCACCCTTCGCCATTGAAGTTCGAATAAAATTATTTAAACTAAAGCATTACAATAATCGAGGCTATCTTTTATATTTATTTTTGAACATTTGTATATATGGACTACTTAGATTTTTCAAATTATGTTCTTACCAATATTTCGTCATATTATTTTCATTTATTTTATTTTAATATTCATTTTATTAAAATCAAAATAAGCTGTCTGAAATATTTTTTTTTATAAATATTTCTTATTTTCTGAAATACTTCGGTAACTAGCTCTTATAACATAAATGTTAAATTTTTCAAACATTTTAGTTAGTGGGTGTGAAATACAACAAAAAGGCCTTGCAGTCCTTCGGTGTAAGACTCAAGTGTAAGATTAATAGAAGTTTTTTTCTAAAGTTCGATCTATTGGAGTTCAAGGCTGCGGAGAGAATAGTTTATGAGAATTGTTCAATTATTTGCCACATATGTAAGTAAGTAAAATATTCTAGCAATCATTTTTCTATTTAATCAATTACGCATGAGCTTATGACTTTTTTTTTGTGAATTATGAACGTTTGTTGAAACTTTTTATGACACATAAATAAAATATAATAAAATCAGATATAAAGTAAATAAAATACAAATAATACAAAATAAAATACAATAAAATAAAATAAAACAAAAGGAAATAAAATAATATATAATAAAGAAAACTAACTTAAAATAAATAAAAATAAAATAAAGCAAAATATGAAAATTAAAATAAATCAAAATTAAATTAAATTAAAAAAAAATGATAGAAGTCGATAAGAACTTAATTAGTTATGTTAAAAAATAAAAAAGGCAAGCAAAGTAAAACATAAATGAAGCGATTTTCTGCCGAGCTCCTTCTCTAATTTGTGGTGTAGCGTCGTGATTTTTTTCCAACAAATGGACTCATAATAACTGTATTTTAATAAAATGATTCGTGCAATTATATCCTTTCGCAATAAAAAAATGGTGACTCAAAGATGGATGTCTATAAATTGACAAAATATTTCATCACTTTGCGTATATGCATAGCCGTATATTTGCAATGCTAAACACTAAATCAGTTTTGAATGATTTTTTCGCATGCGAAGGAAATATTGGCAAGGGATAGCATATGAGGGTTGATATATTTTATTGACAAAAAATTCATAATTCTATTTTTTCTCTTTTGCTATATATTTTTAAATATATTTCCCTGCCTACAACAATTTTTATCGATTACTAATCAGTTTTGTATATTGACATAAATGGTTTATATTTATGCACACACATATACATAATTATACACACATGCAGAATAAAATCGGCTTTCCAACACTCTGTCGCCCATACTCATGCAAATCATCTTCCGGCTGTCCGTTACTTTAGCACGTCAGTCGAATTATTGAATTTTTCAGTTGATTAACTTGACATATTGTAACTACACTGGCGCGCATATGGAAGTGCATGACAACAAAATATTAAATATGCAATTCTTTCTTTCAGAGTAGTTTTTCTTTTATCAAAAGAGATCTAAAAATGATTAGAGAAAATAAGCAGTCAAATTTTGTTAACCAAAAATTCTGCCCTCACAGCTGAGTTTTGATCGCTAGTGTATTTTAAACCTGGATTACCACAAAATCCACAATTTATTCGACACAAAGTTTCCTACTTTTTACACACATCTAAATATGCTTACAAATTCATACACGTACGTTTGCATATATAGCACAGCGCTACAAAATTAATCAATCCATGAAAGGGTGTACTCTGGCGGAAAACAGTCACAGATGTATACACCAACAAACATACGTACTGCACATGTTCATTAACCATATTGTATACAAGTTATCAGACAACTATATACATGCATACCTTACATTAGAACTTGTCGCTATTTTTAGATATAAAAAAATTACGATTTTCTTCATTTTCTGGTTGAGCATCGCTAACCACAATCAGACCTATGTACATATGTATGTATGTTCGTGGCTTTCATTGAACTTAGGCAAATAAGTAAGTAAGTATGCATGTAAATATATGAGTATATTGCTTTTCTTTCAAGTTCCACTGCGCAGTTGGCCCACTTCACATATATATAAATTCATTGACGATGACTTGCTTGCTTGTGCGCCTATTTTTATGCTTTTATTTCTCTTGTCCGTATTCAAGAGAGTGTTGCCCAGTGCCACTTGTTGCATGTTACTTGTTAGCAGGCAGACTGCCAATATTTCTTTGTAACCATAAATCGATTATTCATCCCTTTGCGCTGCTTTTAAATGTTTTAACTCTGTGTACGAGTATGTATGTAGGTACTTAAAGGGCTTTTGTTTTTGAGCATGCACTTATAGAGACTAGCACAATCCTTCATGTCGACACTCTTTTCATCCAATATAACTGAATAATAGTGATAGTTTCATAAGCTTTTCGATCAGTAAATTCAGACAATAATGTTCATATTGATAAATGCTTTTAGTTTCGTTCTTTTTGCTTCAGCGTATTATCGTGTGTATGCTGTGTTGTTGCTGAAAATGGCCGCACGACATGCTAAGCGCGTCTAAATAAGTAAACGGCAACAAGTGGCTGCTAAACTTATTTTTATTTAACATGCCTATGACAATATTTAGAAGTAGAATAAGAGACAAAGCAGATGCCAACGTGTTGGTAAGTGCTGAATTGATCTACAGATATTTTATTAAATTTGTAAGTTTTGCGCAGTAGCAGTCACGGAATAAAAACACAAGGAATTTAGTTTTGTATAGAGAAACAGAATATAAATGCCTAGACATCAAAAGCTGGCTAGGCTCTCTACTTGTGTGCTTTCGCCAATTGCTTTACGTACATCTTGAGGTTTTCCAGCTATAAATCTACTTTCAAGTACTTAATATTAAAAGAGGTAAACAAAAGGAAAGATTAAAACAAAATAGAACAACAAATATAAAATAAAAACATTAATTGATACACCAAATAACATTATGTCAAAAGAGAATAAAAATGAAGAAAAACAAGTTAAATAAAAAGATCAGATAAATAGAATAAATAAAGGAACATCAAATATAAAAAAATATACTAAATTAATAAAATAACCTAAATCAAAACTAATTAAACTAAAAAAAATAAATAAAATTAAGCTAAATTCAATTAAATTATATTTAATTCAATTAATAAACTTATTTTAAATTAAATTAAAATTGATCAAATAAAATATAATAAAAATAGAATAATATTAAAATAAAAAGAAATAAAATAAAATAAATAAAATATATAAAACAAAAATAAATAAAATAAAACTAACATGAAATTAAATTGAACTACCTAAAAAAAAAAATTAAATAAAATTAAAATAAATTAAAATAAAGTAAAAAATATTATTAAAAATAAATTAAATTAACAAAATTAAATTAAATCAAATTTAATTAAAGGGAATTAAATAAATTCAAATTAAATTATATTTAATTTCTTTATTAACTTCTGTTAAATAAAATTAAATTTCATAAAATAGAATAAAAACAAACTAAAAAAAAAACATGAAATAAAATTAAATTATATTAATTGGAAAAAAAAAATAAAAAAACATTAAAAATAAATATAAAAAATAATAAAAACAAAAAAGTAAAATAAAGTAAAATTAAATTAAATTGAATTACATGAAATGAAAAAAAAAATTAAAATAAAATAGAACAAACTCATCTAAAATAAATTCAAATATTATATAAAATGAAATAAAAAAATGTTTAGTTATATAAAATAAAATAAAATAAATGATAATTCAAAAATAAAATATAAAATAAATTATTAGTCTAAAAAGTAAAGGAATAGTTTAATGAACAATAAAGAAGAGCGTAATGTGTTTGACGAGGTATTATTTAAAAAAAAACCTGTTATTCCGGTAGATGTCACTATTGTAGCTACCATTTTTTCAAATTTTATAACCAAAAATCAAAATAAAAGTGGAACGACGCATTTAAATTACTAAAACGGTTTCGTAAATGTAAGACATTTTTCAGTCGGACCGAAATACAGAAATTGGTGGGAAAAATAGATCTGTTGGTACAAGTTAGTGGTGTGAAGAATAAACCACGTGCATATCGCTCGAGATCAACACAGAATGTTGCTGCTCTAGCCAAGAGTGTTGAAGAAACCCCAGACTTGTCCATTCCTCGTTGTTCTTGGGAAATGGGCATTCCACAAATGCCCTTACACCGTCTTTTGCATAAAAACTTGGCTCTTAAAGCTTATAAAGATTACTTAACACAAGAGCTCAAGCGGTCCAAGCATCAACAACGAAGTGCCTTTGTTGATTAGGTCGTTGATATGCATGGAAATTATGTTACTTTTTAGAAAAAGAGGCTGGACCGCTGGACAATTTATGGCTGAAATTCCAACAAGGCGACACTACGTGCCAAACAAGCAACGAACCCATTGATAATTCAAGTGAAAATTTTCGGA